ACTGCTGGTTTAGGCCCGATCGGTTTAGGGCCTAAACCGACATCAGACATCCCCCAAGGGTCCCAGATTGGAGAGGGGGCAGGCTGGGCTGACAGGACCCTGCTCCTCGTGCATGAATTTTATGCACCGGGCCTCTAGTTTGAAATAATGGCAGATGTTGTTATTTTTTTTTTGCAAGATTGAGTCATCAGTGAGGGGTTGGCTGGGGAATGGGGTGGCTAACATCTGATTTATATATTCCTGATCCCCACTACCCATCTCCAGTTACCCTGTATGACCTAATTTGCTGACCCAAATTAATCAAATCAATTTAATAATGTCTTATATTAACAGGAGTTCAGTCCAAAGTCATTGCATAAGGTGAACAATCACAGAGAATCAAAATTGTCTGTAAAAATCCCTTAAACTATTTTTATATGTTTTTATTAATTTTAGAAAGAGAGGAAGTAAGAGAGAGAGGGTGGGAGAGAGAGAGAGAGAGAGAGAGAGAGAGAGAGAGAGAGAGAGAAATATCGATGTGAGGGAGAGACATCAATCACCTGCCTCCTGCATGCCCCCTACTGGGGGTGGAGTCAGCAACCTGGGCATATGCCCTGACCAGAAATCGAACTGGCAACCTTTTGGTGCATGGAACAAGGCCCAACCAACTGAGCCACACTGGCCAAGGCCCTGAAGCTATTTTGAATGTGCTGTACAGCAGCGCTTCTCATTCAGTCCAGCCCCGCGGTTTCCCCAGTGCTGGGTCAAATTGCAGCGTCTCCTTCAGATGAAGCCGTTGTCCGGCATGTGGGGACTGGTGTGGGACAGACGTGCACACAGCATCAGGCAGCACTGCAGCCACATTCAGCTCTGCTCCAGGAGGCACCTGCACTGGGTCCCTCAGGTTCACTCCCAACACACGCTCACTGAGGGGAAGGTGGGCTCCAGCTCCCACAGGTTTAAATGACGTTTTTTCTGCAGGAAGCTCAGAATGGCTGTGCTAAGCACACACAGCAAGCAATGTGACTGCATGGGTAAATTCCTGCTTGGAATTGCATATGTGAAATGCAACAGTATTTTTAAAAGGCAACCCCTTTCATCACAACCCAACGTAGGGCAGCTTGGGGTGCCCTTACAATTTGGACCCTTCCCTGGAGAAAAAAATATCTGAGTTTGCTCCTAAGTGTGTAGCTAAGGAGGAGATGCTGCTGGAAAGATAGATGGTTTAACAATGAGATCTACACAGTGGACGGGGATGAGAACTCTGTGCCTAAAATCTTCCTGGGAATCTCTACTCCTCACCAACTTAGAGGCTCAGGAATCTTTCCTCATTCCTAAAGAGTGACTTCGTTCCCATTTCCAACAGATCCCCAAAAGTGACTCGATACATCACATGAGCCGCTGCCAGAGGCGGCCTGAGCTCCCTCCTCTGCCTGCTTCTGCGAACGAGGAGCCGTCTGAAGTCTATCAGGTCTGTTCACCTGGTGGCCCGTGGGGGACAGGCAGGCAGGGCTGACAGTGGGATTGGGGGTTTGGTCATTCCTGTGACCAGGGAAGGTTACCTGCTGTGTTATTGAAACTCTCTGAAATGCTTCATCTTCAGCTATAAAGTGAGAGCGATGATTTCTTTCTAGCCATGTCCATAAGGAATAAAGACAATAAAAATCAGTTACCTGACTCACAAACTTACTGTTTACTGAAAGCCAGCTATTATCCTTGACTTCAGAAATCACGCTCACAGTGGCCAGGCAGGACAATCGGCATCCACTCAGAAAGCACTTGCAGCGAGTTTGCAGAAGATAGAAACAGCATAAGGCATGTGGGACTCTGCGATTGTCAGCGAGAGAATGTAGTGAGGACCCCTCAGAGCCCAGGCACCCTGCTGGGGATCAAACCCGCAAGCAACCAGGGCATGTGCCCTGACGGGGAAGTGAACCGTGACCTTCTGGTGCATGGGCAACATCCAACCCACTGAGCCACACCGGCCAGGCCATTCACAAGAGATGGCCCTCATTGCATCTCTCTCTGCATGTCTTCCCTTGTAGACGGTCATGTCACACAGCTTTTACCCCCCCTTGATGCAACGCACATCGTGGACCCTGGCTGCACCCTTCAAAGAGCAGCACCACCATCGTGGACCCAGCGATTGCATTGCCAACAATTACTCCTTGACAGCTCAGGACCTGAAGCTGAAGGACCTGCTGAAGGTCTACCAGCCGGTCACCATCAGTGTCCCTAGGAAAAGGGTCATTCAGGAGTTCCCATCAGGTAACTGTGGCAGGATGGGGTCTTGGAGTTTGATTTGTAATCCTGGGTTCTAGCCTGGCTTTACTCTTACGGCAGCTAATTTTAGATAACCTCAGAGAGTTAGTCTCCTCACGTATGAAATGGGAATGATTGTAAAGGCTAACCTTACATTTACATACACCAAACCTTACATACAATGCACCAAGCACTATTCTCATGCACTTGTGTTAATTGATTGCTGTATAACAAATTACCCCCAAACTTAACAGTTTAAAACAGCGGTTGCCAACCTTTCAGACCTCACAGATCACCGGTTGGTGACTGCTAGTTTAAAACAACCACTGTTTATTATATTATGGTATATGTGGGTCACTGGGTGGTTCTGGCTCAAATTCTCTCTCAACTGGCAGTCAGACATCCCCTGAGGGGTCCCAGATTAGAGAGGGTGCAGGCTGGGCTGAGGGACACCCCTCCAGTGCACGAATTTTGTGCACCGGACCTCTAGTCCTGTATAATAAAAGGCTAATATGCAAATATACCAAATGGCAGAACAATCGAACAACCGGTCACTATGACGTGCACTGACCACCAGGGGATGCACGCGGAATATGGTGGGCATTGGCCGTGGTGGGATGGTGGAGCAGGTGAGCAGGGGTGCCAGACCATGGCGGGGCACTGGTTGCTGTCATCAGGGTGAGGCTCTGGTGGTTACTGAAAATTCTTTGCTCCCGCACACCACAGTCCCGCCCCACACTCACACCTGCTGCCGATACTGGACCCGCTTGCACCCACTGCTGGTGCCCAGTGCTGGCCCCGCTCACACCCACTGCTGGCGCCGGCCCCAATTGCTCCACAGAGCACATGGGAGTGGTGGCAGCAGGAGTGGGCTGCTGGCAAACAGGGGACTGGGGGCCGCAGTGGGCAGGGCCAGTCAGGGGCACGGAGGATGGGCTAAGACCCACCCCTGTGCCCACTGCAGCCTCCTGGCCTACAGTTCCTTTCAAGGTGCACGAATCCATGCACTGGGCCCCTAGTGTGCATATAAGATCTTTGGTTAATCTCTTCCCACCCCTCCCCTTCCCTCAGAGATTCATCAGTCTGTTCCATGTTTCCATGCCTCTGGTTCTATTGCATTCATCAGTTTATTTTGTTCATTAGATTCCTTATTCATTTCTTTTGATTTTTACTTTCAATTGATGATAGATATATATATTTATATTTATGATCTCCTCCTCCTCCTCCTCCTCTTCCTCCTCTCCTCCTCCTCTCCTTCTTCTTCTTCTTCTTCTTCTTCTTCTTCTTCTTCTTCTTCTTCTTCTTCTCCTTCTCCTCCTCCTCCTCCTCCAAGTAGCCCCTTCAACATTTCATGGTTTGGTGGTATTAAACTCCTTTAGCTTTTTGTGTCTGTGAAGCTCTTTATCTGATCCTCAATTCTAAATGATAGTTTTCCTGGGTAGAGTAATCTTGGTTATAGATCCTTGCTTTTCATCACTTTGAATATTTCTTGCCACGCTTTTCTGGCCTGCAAAATTTCTGTTGAGAAATCAGCTGACAGTTGTATGGGTGCCCCTTGTAGGTATCTAACTGCTTTTCTCTTGTGGCTTTTAAGATTATCTCTTTGTCTTTAACCCTTGGCATTTTAATTATGATGTGTCTTGGTGTGGGTCTCTTGGGGTTCATAGTGTTTAGGACTCTCTGCATTTTCTGGACTTGTAAGTCTATTTCTTTCACCTGGTAGGGGAAGTTTTCTGTCATTATTTCTTCAAATAGATTTTCACTATCTTGCTCTCTCCTCCTTCTGGCACCCCCATGATGCAAATGTTGGTATACTTGGGGTTGTTTCAGAGGCTCTTTACATTATCTTCATATTTTTGGATATTTTTTTTCATTTTGCTCTTCTGATTGGGTGATTTTGCTCCCTCATATTCCAAATTGTTGATTTGATTCTTGAGATCCTCTATGTTGATTCCCTATAAATTATTCTTCATTTCAGCTAGTGTATCCTTCATTTTTGACTGGTCCTTTTTCATGTCTTTGATGTTCTCACTAAGATCCTTGAATTTCTCACTAAGTCCTTTATCATTCTCAATAAGTTCCTTGAAGCTTTCATTAATTCCTTGAGCATCCTTGTAACCATTATTTTGTACTCTGCATCCAGTAGTTTGCTTGCTTCCATTTTACTTAGTGTTTTTTTCTTCTGGAGATTTCTTCCTTTTGTGACATGTTCGTCTCCACGTTTTGGCTGCTTCCTTGTGTTCGTTTCTATGTATTAGGTAGAGAGAGCTGCTATGTCTCCTGGAATTGGTAGAGTGGCCTTGTGTAGTAGGTGTCCTATAGGGCCCAGTGGCTCAGCCTCCCCAATCCCCTGAACTGGGCAATCTAGGTGCACCCCCTGTGTGAGCTGTGTGAGCTGTCCTATTGTAGTTGAACTTTGATTGCTGTTGGCATCATTGGGAGTAATTGACCCCCAGGGCAATTGACTATGATGACCAGTTGTTGTCTACAATGGAAGAACTGCTGTTCAGGAGACACCCCTATGGAGCAGGACTTGCTTCAGTGGGGTTTTGGTGCTCACCAAGTCTGCCTCTTGAGTGTGTCACTTGTGAATGTGGTAGAATTGTAATCTGGTGTGGTCTGAAGCTGTCCACTGGTGCATTGGCTCTAGGACCTCCCAGGATGTACAAAGTTGGCCAATTTCCAAAGTTACTGGGACTTTGGCACAAGCTACAGAGTGATCTGCAGATGGCTGCTACTTGTGTTGGCCTTGGAGGTGCCCAGGAGAGGCCAAACTATGAACTAAGGCAGGTTGCTGCTAGTGCCAGGCCTGGGGCCACTTATTGATAGGTATGGAGCATGCTGATGCCAGCTGATGCTTGTTTGAGAGATTTTAGAAAAGTCTGAAGCCTGAGCCAGGACAGGCCATTCACATGGAAAAGCCACTACAAACAGCTTGGGTGGGGCTGAAAATTGGATGGGGTGGGATCTCAGGGAATTTCCAGGGTGGAGCAAATAGTGTGGGCCAGATTGATGGAGACTCAGATATGGCGACTGCCAGTCAGCTCTGTGGTGGAATAGGTCCCAGCATAGGAACAATAACCTCTGCCAGCACTTTTGTGGCTGGAAAGCAGTCTGGGAGAAAGCTGCCCCTGAGTTCCTGCCCTGATGCCAGACAATACAGTTCCTCCCCATATGTCCTTGGATACTTTCAAGCTGCTGCCCCAATACTGGAGCTCAGAGGGAGTGAGTCCAAGTAAGTCCATGCACTAGCCCTTTAAGAGGAACTGCCTGGGTCTCTGTCAGCTCTGTGTCACTCAGGCACAATCTCTGCTGGTTTTAACAGCCTGAAGATACAGGGTCCTCTCTTCCCAACACCAGAACTCTGGGCTGAGGGGTCTGGCATGGGGCTGGGACCCCTTGCTTCTCATAGGAACCTCCACAGCCTAGATATCCCCCCCAATTAAAAAAATGTCATGTGTATTTTGGACCAGCTCATTCCATGTCCCTGCCCCTCTTACTAGTCTCAGCATGGTTTCTTCTTTACTTCTCTAGTTGTAGGACTTCCATTCAGCCAGATATCAGGCGGTTCTGAATGATGGTTGTTCTGTAGTTTAGTTGGAATTTTGATGTGGTTGTTGGAGGATTTGAGTCCCATATTTACCTACACCACCATCTTGGTTCCTCTCCCCATAATACTTTGTATATATTAATTTATTTAATCCCACCAGGTACACATATATCTATTTAAGGGTATCCTTTAGTAATTCTAGATGTATGTTGGAGCAATATTATTTTATATTTAACGAGTTTTTTTTCCTATTACTATTATATTTGGAGTGGATTGATGAGGAGCTCAAGTATGAACTCAAAATATATCTTGAGAGTTTTCAGTTCTCTTTAATTCTCTCAGAATGTCAATTTAATATTAGTATGTCATTAATACTTCTCTATTACTTGTTAATTTCCTTAGGCTAGAAACTTAAGCAAGTTGAATAGTAGAATTTTATGTCATTTATTAAAATTATTAGAGGTCCGATGCACAAAGATTCGTGCAAGAATAGGCCTTCCTTCCCTGGCTGCCAGCACTGCCTTTGCTCTGGCCCGGAGCCACCTTTCCGCCTTCGCGTGCTGCCCAGAGGCCTAAAGTGGCTAGGGGGGTGTGGAATGCCTGCGTCATCGCCACAACACAGGCATCCCAGCCCAGCCGCCGCCATCTTTGTTGCACAATTTGCATATTCCCTCCTTATTGGCTGTGGGTGCCGCCATCTTTGTCATGAAGTGACAGTCAATTTGCATATTCTGTCTTTATTAGATAGGATTTGTAGTTACCCTTTATTGCAAATAATAGTTTTTTTGTTTTCTTTTCTTAATATATTTTATTGATTTTTTACAGAAAGGAAGGGAGAAGGATATAGAGTTAGAAACATTGATGAGAGAGAAACATTGATCAGCTGCCTCCTGCACACCTCCCACTGAGGATTTGCCTGCAACCCAGGTACATGCCCTTGACCGGAATTGAACCTGGGACCTTTGAGTCCATAGGCTGATGCTCTATCCACTGAGCCAAACCGGTTAGGGCAATAATAGTTTTTTTATTTATGATAATCACACATATTTTTTTACAGTAAATATATTAAGTTTAAATATCTGAGTCTATTTAAAGAAAAATATGAAACAACAATACATGTGACATTTAGAAAACAGAGCAACAGGGTTGGAGAGTGGATCAAGTAGGCAGTTATTTTTTTTAAAATATATTTTTATTGAATTTTTACAGAGAGGAAGGGAGAGGGATAGAGAGTTAGAAACATCGATGAGAAAGAAACATCGATCAGCTGCCTCCTGCACACCCCCCACTGGGGATATGCCCGCAACCAAGGTACATGCCCTTGACCGGAATTGAACCTGGGACCCTTGAGTCTGCAGGCCGACGCTCTGTCCACTGAGCCAAACCAGTTAGGGCAAGTAGGCAGTTATTAATACCTGTCAAATGTATGAATTTGCTCATCCCTATTTTACAATTGAAGAAGCTGAGGCCTAGAATGATGAAGTCACTTCTTCAGGGCCACACAGGTAATTAGTGGTGCAGGTGGGACCAGAACCCACATCTCCTGCCTCATCCCACTGCACCTGGACAGTCCTGAGAGCCACATCCTTGTGGACAGAGGATGGCTCAAGGCCACTGCCCATCACTTATGTCTTTCTTCTCCACTATTCTAGCAACAAAAAGCTCAGCAGAGCCCGAGAAGAAGAAAATGAAGTCCATCCCAATAGACAAAACAGATCATACCAGGTAAAATTCTTCATTGTCTCTGTGGGTACAAGGATTTCAGGACACTAGGCTGAACCACAAAAGGCTGTGGTCTCACTAAAGCCATGGTCTTCTCAGCTTCAAAGCATTCCCAGATAACCAGTAACCAATGCCGCCCCCCCCCCAAATTCCCTTAATCTAAAGAAACTTTAGATACTAAATAAAAATAAGTTAACCGACTGAGCAAACCAGTGCTAACATACCTATGCAATGCTCCATGTTAGAGGTCGCTGCTCATGCCACAGTTCTCAGATGACACGGAGGAGGGCTTCTCCTGCAGAAGGACCCTCATGTGGCTGGAAGGCAGGCTGACAGCTCAGAGCCTCTGCTGAGCCAGGGCTGAGCCATGTCTTCTTTTCAGGACCAAATCCGCCCACAAGACCTTGACCTCCTCACCCCGGAAGAAGGAGGTGATGACCTCTGAGACCCCCCCAGGAAGCAGACCAGCGAGCCCAGAAGAGCAGATTAACATGATGTTACAGAAGGAGATGGAAATAGAAAGTAAAGAAGCCAAGCCATCCAAATCAGACTTGGAGGTACATTCTCGTCACTGCCTTTCTCCCAATTGGCCATCTCAGCGATTCTGATCTGGGGGGAACAGCAGAATCACCCAGGGCATGTTTTAAAAATACACAGTCCAGAACCCAGGACAGTCTACTGTGTGTGTGTGTGTGTGTGTGTGTGTGTGTGTGTGTGTGAGAGAGAGAGAGAGAGAGAATGCATTCTCTGCTCTAGTAAGCCTTAGAAACCAATACCTTTGGGTCCTCTGAGAACATAAGTTGCAAAATGGTGACCCACAGGCTGGGGTTGCCAGATTTTGGAAAAACAAAAACAAAACACAAAACAGGACACCCAGCTAAAGTTGAATTTCAGATAAACATGAATAATTTTTTAGTATAAGTATATCCCAACCCACCTGGCAACCCCACCATAGGCTGAATTTGGTCTATCACTGTATGAGGGAAATCTCATATGAGCTAGGTTTTTAATTTCTCTTGAAAAATTAAGATATTCTAAGCTGAGTAGGAGCTGCCTCCTTTAGGTGAGAGACACATTCTCCAGTTTGTCGGTCTCCTCCATTCTTATTATTGTTTTATGTCCAGCCAACTGTCACCTGTTAATGTCACCTGCTTGATTCTAGGTAGCCTTTTGAGTTTCTAACCTCTACCTTAAAAGGAGAACAATAAATCTTTAGAGAAAATAGCTTATGAGTTTATAGTACATAAAAATTAACAATAAAAACTCAGTCACTGTGTGCTGTTGGCAAAATTCCATGCTAACCCTTACTTGACCTGGGTATTAGGATCATTCTCATTGTCCAGCTGTGGAAATTGGGGTGCAGACTGATTCAACAGCTTGCTGGGGTTGTGCAGTCAGGAAGAGGCAAAGCTGGGCCTCAGGCCAGGTCTGGCTGATAGTAAAGTCTCTGTGGGTAAGAGCTACCAGCATTTCTCAAAGTTGCCAGCAGATTATAATCACTTAAAGTGCTTGTTTAACAGAAACCAAACTGCCTGAGGAGGGATCTGTGGGGCTGCATTTTAACCAGAGCCTCTCTCTGACCCCGGGCAGTTCTTATGATGAGGGAGTTGGATGTGTTTCTGTATAATCAGCTTTCACTCCAGTTGGAAAAGGTGAGCTCAGCCTCTTCTGACCTCGGACAGTTGTCACTGACACTCAAAGCTAATTTCAAACCCTTGCCTACACTTGGTGCTTCTCATCTATTTGAAATGATCCATCGCTAGAGCCACTCAGCCATCAGCAGCTCAGAGGCAGGGGAAACAAAACTTTCAGTGTCACCAGGTGATGCGGGCCATTTTTATTCGGTGTGTGCATCTGTAGCTTTTCTCAACTCAAAAGCCCATGGTTGGCCCTAACCCATGGGGTGGGGCCACAACATTAGTAACAAAGAAACAGACTATCTAAATCAGTGGTTCTCAACCTTGGCTGCACATTAGAATCACCTGGGAATCTTTTTAAATTCACCCCATAACAAAGAAACAGAATTTCCGGAGGATGAGGCCCAGAAATCAGGATTTTAAAAAGAGTCCCAGGTGATTCTAATGTGCAGCCAAGGTTGAGAACCACTGCCCTAACCAGTTTGGCTCAGTGGATAGAGCATTGGCCTGAGGACTGACGGGTCCCAGGTTCGATTCTGGTCAAGGGCATGTATCTTGGTTGCAGGCACATCCCCAGTAGCAGGTGTGCAGGAAGCAGCGGATCAATGTTTCTCTCTCATCATTGATGTTTCTATCTCTCCTTCTCCCTTCCTCTCTGTAAAAAAAATCAATAAAATATATTAAAAAAAAAAAAAAAAGCCCATGGGTGGCCCTAGCCAGCTTGGCTCAGTGGATAGAGCCTAAGCCTGTGGACTGAAGGGTCCCAGGTTCAATTCCGGCCAAGGGCACATGCCTGGGTTTCGGACTTGATCACCAGTAGGGGGTGTGCAGGAGGCAGCTGATCAATGATTCTCTCTCATCATTGATGTTTCTATCTCTCCTTCTCCCTTCCTCTCTGAAACCAATAAAGAAATATATATATTTTTAAAAGCTCACGGTTGGATTAGAAGAGCTATCATAAGTCTCACTAGGTCTTTGGGGATCTTTTTTCCCCAGCTGACGGCTACAAGCTGCTTTGCAGAGGATCAATGTTGAGGAGAATGAATCATTTGAGTCCTTTTAAGGAACTCACTCCTCTTTTTAAAGCTCTTCAGATATACTGCCCCATCTCTCTTACTATCTGCATGGCGTTTGACAAATCTTTCTTTGTGTTTCACTGACCTCTCTCTAGCTTTGGTCGAATCCTTGAGTCATGGGGAAGACTCACCAGTGACCCCATAGCCATGTGTGTGAAGTCACCGCGCAGGCCGCACAGCTGTAGCGCGGGAAGGGTAGGGAGGGGCACTGTGTGGCCTTGGCCTCCTGTCAGCTGATGGGTGTGGAAAGGTGGGCACAGTTCACCAATCATGATCATTTTCTTCCTGGTGGTTTGTTTACGGAAGAGATATGATTATTACTTGACCCATGGAATCCGAAAAGACATGATTGCCCCCGAGGAGGATGAAGTGATGGTTCGGATTTCGAAGCTGATTCCTAGCACTCTGCTGATGAGTCCCTTCCTGGAACCCCTGGTGAACACCCTCATGGAGGAGAAGGAAAGTTACTATTACAACAGCCTCATGAAAAGCATCGGTAAGGCTGGGCGGACCTGGGCGGGGTTCCCATGCAGAGGGCCCCTTCCTTCTTCTCACTCTCAGTCCTCTATCCCCGTTTTTCTGAAAATGCCAAAGCATTTTAACTTTAATTCAAATGCCCCCACCCCACCACCACTCCTGTCTCCCCCAGCCCTCTCACACATTAATGTGCACCCACTTAACCTGGGTCTGGTCCTGACGGGGGGACCTGCGGGGGCCCGCCTGCATAGCTCACAAGCTCCAGGTGAGGCAGCAGGTGCCACTTCCCAGGGGCAGCGCTACGAGCGGCAAGGGCCGACTCCACATCTGAAATCACACTCAGACCTGCCTCTTCTCTCCACTCTTTCGCCTCTCTCCAGCCCGCAGTGCTCGCTGCATCTCCTGCACTCACAGCACTTCTTGTCTCCACTGTCAGCTCACCTGTGCCACTAAGTCTCCACTGTCTCTGCATTTTCATGGGGTCTTAGCTGCCTCAGAGACTGTGAGCTCTTTGGTGATGAAGGATGTCTCCCTCACTCCCCTTCGGCCTGGGCCCCAGGTCTTGCTCACAGAGGTAGGGAGACTATTCGATGACCGTGAGTGATGCACGCCAAAGAGGAGGGTTGCCAGAAGCCGGTCCATCCTTGCTGCTTGACACAGTCACTGCAGGGAAGAAACATCTGCACAGCATATGTTTCAAGGGACCTGCCATACTGTTCTTAATATGTTTGCTCCCCTTCTTAGCGCTATGTGTTCTAACCGGGGCCACCTCCCTGAGAAAGGTTGTTTCCCCAGGTGGGGATGTTTCCCTGGAGTTAGGGATTAACAGGACTAAGGAAGGGAATAAATCAGTAAAACCCCTCAACTAAGTGCCAGGCGGGTAGTTAATCACCTTAACTACGAACAATCATGCTTAAGCTACATAATCTTTACTTAGGATAATCTCCTTCAGTTACTTCCTTGTAGCTTAACAGAACAGTAGAGTAGTGACCTTGGAGTGGAGAAAACAAACTAGCCCTACCCTTTGGAATAGAATGGATAGGATTAAAATCAACAGAACTAGATGGAGATGGGATTTTTGGCAAAGGTCAGATAAGAAACTATGGACATGAAACAAGGAACTGTAGAAGGTCAAGGGAGGACCCAAAACATACCATGATGTGACTATAGAGGCATGCTTATAGGATCAAATGGTATAAATACAGATGTAACAGGAGAATAAGGGGAGAACCTGGCTATGCTGATCATCTGAACGCTGTCTCCAGCTCATTCTTTGCCGACTCCATCTACACCTTTGGGAACCCCTGGACCGCTGGGGCTGGACCCCGGCAGAGGGTGACCATGCTAGTTCCCTTCCTTCCTGTTTTATCTGGACAACAGCCATCTTCACCAACTTGTCTAGTTATTTTTAATTTCCTAATTAACTTTCTGGTGGTGTCAGTGTAATGGCTCCTTGTTTACTACAGGGTAGAACCAAACTCAGAAGAATAAACTTGTAAGTCCTTCAAATTCCAGCCCCAACCTACTTCTCCAGTTTTATCACCTTGAACTCAAACCACTGGCACCTGCTATTCCTGCCACAGAGTGAATAACAGCTCCTGGAGTGGCCTGCACTCTATGACATGCTGCTCCTCGGCCCGTCTTCCCTCCTGGGCCTGTCTCAGAAACCCCCCTCACCCCTCAGGACCCAGCTCAGACGTTACTTTGCCTGTGAAGCTTTTACCAATCTTTCTTTCCTTAGCATGTGACGTTTTTGATCTCTGAATTTCCATTGCAAGTGTCTGGTGTCATCCATTGTGTTGATTTTGGTGTGAGGAGTCAATTAATGATTAATGAGGCATCAGCAAATACTCATTCACTGTCATGCAGATGCTAGATATCTAACAGGATGCCATCCCGGGTTCCCTGAGCTCCAGGCTGAGGTTACCCACCTCCTTGCTTGGTGTCTTCAGACAGAAAACACAGAACTGCAGAGCATGCTCAGGGGACTGCTGGCGACCCTGCCCGTGAGGGAGCATTTTCAAGTGTTGCCTTTGGAGGGTTGAAGCTAAGAGCACGAGTGCTCAGGGTCCCTGCGTAATAACAGTGTTTCCCGTTGGTCCTAGTTGATTACATCCTCATGGACCCAGAGGAGAAGAAGAGGCTCTTCATCGAGAGCACCCCCCGCCTGTTCCCACAGAGAGCCATCCGGGCGCCTGTGCCCTGGCACGGGGCCTACAAGAGCGCCAAGAAGTGGAACGAGGAGCACCTGCACACGGTGAACCCCATGGTGCTCATCCTGGAGCAGCTGTGGTTTGAAGAGTAAGAAGGGCCTCCCTCTCCCCTCCCCCCTCCGCTGCTTCCACACATAGGAGAACATGTTACGCTGGGCACTATGAGGTAGCCCTGTCCTGGGCATGAAATGACAACATCAGACCAAAGGCATAGGAACTGGCCCACAGCCCCCGGGTCTCAGCACTGGAGCATCCTGGGTAAGAGCACAGGCATGGAGCCAGGCTGCAGGGCCAGGCCTGGACTCCAGGGCTTCATAGGTGATAGGTATTGGTGTGTTACCACCTCTCTGTGCCTCATCCCTGAATTTGGGATAATGAGAGCTCATAGGGTTGTAGGAGGAATAACTAAGTTAATGCTGTAAGGTACTCAGAACAGTGCCTGAAGTACCTCCATTACCACCCGTGTCTCGCTGAATTCTAATTGTATGTTTACTTGCTCGACCTCCAGCCCACTAGAGGGTGGGTTGTGTAATGTTTATTCGGGTGCCAGATGTGTAATGTGTGTTTTCCCCACGTCCCGTGTGGTTTAGGGTTCGGGCTCTGGAAGAGGGGCTGCACACAAATGAAAGAGACGAGACAAGAGATAATAATTTGGAAATTGGGGGGCCAGGGGAGAGCCCATCCCAAGAGGATGGACTCCGCTTGTGCTCAGGCCTTGGCATCCTTTTATTCAGTTTGGGATGCACCTATAGCCGTTAGGCAGGCAAGTTCCAGTCACAGGCAGACTATCTTATCAGCAAGGATTTACATGATAATAGGTGGGGAAGTTGCTTCTGCTACCATTATCTCCACTAAACAGTGGGTGCATAGCCCTGACCTTTGCCAGGGCTTCAAGGGTCACCAGCCTTCCGGTTCCTTGTCCACACCTCTCTGCTAGTGAAGACAATAGGCGGCTTCCCACATTGGGTACTTGGGTCTTACTCATTGATGTAACTCAGTTCCCCACAGGATGGCTGGCTACCGCCTCGGTGAAAGTCATCAGTGACTAATTGGCCACAGGAATTGTAAAAGTCCAGCGCAGGCAGCAGTCTCTTTTTTTTCCTCTTAAGTTTTTCTAAATTGAAATACAATTCACACACCATAAAACTCACCCCCTTTGAAGTGTACAATGCAGTCGTTGTGAGTATATTTGCAAATTTTTACAAATATTTAACTCAAGAATATTTTTATCCTCCCCCAAATAAACATGTACCTGTCAGCAGTCTTTCCACCCTCTCCCTCCTCTCAGCCCTGGCGACACTGATCTGCTCTCCATCTCTGGGGCTTGGCCTCGTCTGGACATTTCCTGTAATCGGAACCAGGTGGTCCTTTGTGTCTGGCTACTCCCACCAGCAGGATGTTTCCAAGGTTCATTCAGAGAAGCATGTATTAGGACTTAATTCTTTCTTCTGGCTGAACAATATCTCACTGTGTGGTTATCCCGCATTCTTCCATTGCACTGGGAAGAAAGACTCATATTCTATGGGTCCCTCAAGAGGGAGTGCAACTCCTGTGGGAGAATAAGGCCACCAGAGTTCACTGAAAGTCAGGCTGCCACCATCTGGGTTCTTTTTAGAAAAGTTAGAGGCAAATATGTGTATTTAATTTTGATTGGCTGAACTTAGCAGCTCAAATATTTTGTCTTGGGAAGATCTCTAGCTTAGAATGTGTTTTATCTTGGAGAGCTTAGTTGTTTTCACATTCTTAGCTTTACCTATATTTTTAAAAGGAATTGTTGGGGAAGTCAACCTAGGATGGAGCCCACCAATGATAAGAAATAAGCACATTCCTTCTTTGAACTAAATTCTGTTTTCTAAGGCTTTGCAGGTGTCCATCAAGACAATGAAAAAAAGAAGTAAGTTTCTAACTGGGTAGAAGTATGTTGAGTAATAATGTTCTTGTTCTGTCACTACAGAACTTTCGATTTGGGGTAAGTTCATCTTTCTGGGCCTGTTTCCTTATATGCAAAGTGGGAATAATAGCAAAGCTCCTCTCATGTGGCTGTTGGGAGAGGTGCTTGGAACAGTGCTGGGCACACAGTGGTTGTGCCCACGCACCGGGGTCTCCAAATCCTGGAGCATGCTGGGTACGAGCACAGTGGGGAGCAAGGTACGTGGCCAGCGGGCAACACTGCTTTAACTACAAGTGTGTTTTTAGCCTCAAAACATAAATCAACCTGGAAATTAATGAGGAACTCACTCTGGGGCCTGGTAACGTGGCCAGAGGCTCAGTGCCACGGGAATGTGCGCGTGAGTTTAATTTAACTGTGTAATGAAGATGACAAACTATTGAACCGATAGCCCGTACTGAGAAGAAAGGATGCGTACCATGTGCTTTTCATGGCTCTGTAAGATTCTGTAGGCAACAGAGGTACAAAAATGACCCAGAAGCATTCAGAAGGCTTTTGTTGGCTGAATCAAAAAATTCACAGTGAGAAAGATTTGTTAAGGAAATGATACAGAGTACTTTTCTTACATGGCCTGCACTATTTAACTTCAAAAATCCTGAGAGGTCACCTCGTTATCTGTGAAGGGTGAGATGTTTGGGGACAGGATGAGGGTTGTGGTCTCAGAAAGAATAGATTTTCTGACCATTGGGAAATTTGCTGGGATTCAGTTAAAGATGTGCAACATCCTTATCAGGTGGTGACAAGGGCCACCTGTGGCTGGGTGGCAGTGTGCATGGCACCGAGTCCTCAGGTTCTGTCCTCCCCTGGCAGTGCCCTGGCCTGGCCAGGCAAGCTGAAAGCTAGGCTCACCACCTCCACCAAGAAGGAATAGGGCTGCCGGGTTTCAGGAGGAAGGGCCGCCTAAAGGTCATTACAGTGAGTGAGGAAAAGGAGGAGCAAGAACGAGACAAGCTAAGAGGCAGAGCAGAGATCTCCTGGGGGAAGTGACAGGTGCTGGTGATGTCAGAGTGATTTATAACCCACTGGAGGGATTCCATCTGATATGAGCCAGGAAGAGGACTGGTGCTCTCAGAGCCAATGAAGGCCTGAGGAGTGTGGTGAAGAGCAACTTAGCCATTGATCTGAAAGAAACAGGAAAAGAGAAGAGCATCTCAGAGGAGGGCATTCATTCAACAAACGTACTTTGAGTGCCTGCATCGTGTAAGGCCGGTGCTGAGGGAGGCTACATGTCTTGGTGAACTGTCAGGGTGGGACAGTGTGTTTTGTTTTTGTTTTTTTAAAACTATATTTTTCTTGATTTCAGAGAGGAAGGGAGAGGGAGAGAGAAATAAAAACATCAATGATGAGAGAATCATTGATTGACTGCCTCCTGCATATCCCTCACGGAGGATCGAGCCCACAGCCCAGGCATGTGCCCTGACCAGGAATCAAACCGTGAGCTCCTGGTTCATGGGTCGATACTGCACCTCCGAGCCACGCTGGCTGGGCTGCACAGTGTTTTCTTGAGTAGCTCAGTAACCCACCTGATCGCGAAGATACTCTGTGTGCCCTGTCCTCTTTGTCTTCACTGTTTGTAAAGAACTTTGTTTAGTCCATTTGACATCCCAGTTCTCAGTCACCAAATACGAAGTTGGTGCCCAAACCCCGTCCCCAGTTGGGACACCCAGCACGACACACAAGAAGACTCAGTAACCTCCTGCTGAGTGGCTCATGTATCTGCTCTCTGCGAGAGTTTTTGTGGGTGTCCACTTCCTCCTCAGACTCCCCAGTTTTTCAGATATACTTAGTTTTGATCTGTTTAGCTCTCCTCCTATTGAAGAAAGAGCATATATGCCTCTTGAGCCCGTCCTACACAATTTGTCACGAAGCTGAGCTACTTTCCCCCTTCTTTTGGCAGGTTCAGAGACCTCAGGTTTGTTCGAAAAGCAGAATTACTGGCAGGGAAACTGCCTCTGCAGCCCCAGGAATATCAGGATGTGATCTGGAAGCACTGCATGGAAGCACGCCAGGTCCTGCTCAGCAAGTCAGTACCTGGCCTGAGTGGGGCTCCTCACAGGATCCCAAAGACAGGAACTCTCTGCAGGAAAACTCAGTCCCAGCCCGGGGGCTGCACAGTTGCTGACGTCCCACTGGCGTCCTTCTCTGTCCTCTTCCTTCCAGTGCCCCAGCCTTCGTGTCTCCTCACACCCACTGTGCATCAGCCCCAGCCCAGTCTCCCTTCGCTTTCAAACTCTCTCATTACCGTTGGTGTGAGGGTGCCCCTTCCGTCCCCTCCTCTGAAACCCTCAGGCCTCGCTGGTCACAGGACAGTGCACTTGAATGACTTGCATGCAGGTGGCCCAGATAAACAGCCCCCAGGTGCCCAGGTTAGAGGGTTTTCAGTCACTCAGACAACTCCTTTTGCTTTGCAAATACATGCAGGACTATGTCCAGAGAAATTAATTCCCTTATGTGAAATGATGATGATAATACCATTGGGTTTTTACATATTAGAGAATATGTAAGTATATGCAGTAGCTGGCACTCAGCAGCTGCTTGGTAAATATGGTAATTATTACCTCTGACCATGACTAGTACTAGTACTTCTAGATGCTAGAACAGTAGTTTTCTGGCAAGCAGAAAAGAGACATAATGGATGGTAAGATCAGTGATTCCCACTGGGAATTGGGAATTAGAATTTGTGGAAGGAAGGAAGGACCAATGAGGAAGAATAGTCTCTCAATTCAAAGCTTACTACTTTCTTCTCAGGAGAGGGGTGCTGGTAGGAGAGGCAGCCAGATGTGTGAAAATACCAATTCGAGGAGGTTCTTACTTGGCTATCCTCCTGTCTTTGCAGGTGGATCCCCACCTGTGCTCAGCTTTTTGTCTCCCAGAAGGAGCAGTGGATCCATTTTGCTCCCAGGAGTGACTACGACTCCTCCAGGAACATCGAGGAATTTTTTGCTTCTATTGCATCATTCATGTCACTCCAGCTCAGAGAGTTGGTCATTAAGTCTCTTGAGGATCTCGTCTCCTTTTTCATGATACACAAGGTGTGTAGGGGGTCATAAACAAGCCCTTTTGAGGGTAAATGATTAAGATAGAATCAGGATTCCATCAGCTATGAGCCAGGACAAAAAATAAAAATCCTGATTCGCACACACTTCAGGTCCTTATCCTATATAATAAAGGGCTAATATGCAAATTGACCAAATGGCAGAATGACCAGTCACCAAGACATGCACTGACCACAAGGGGGCAGACGCTCAATGCAGGAGCTGCCCCCTGGTGATCAGTGCACTCCCACAGGGGGAGCACCACTCAGCCAGAAGCCGGGCTCACGGCTAATGAGTGCAGCAGCAGTGGCAGGAGCCTCTCCCACCTCTGCAGCAGTGCTAAGGATGTCTAACTGATGGCTTAGGCCCACTCCCATGAATGCTCCTGGACTGTGAGAGGGTGCAGGCCTGCTGAGGGACACCCTCCACCCCCGGGTGCACAAATTTCGTGCACCCAGCCTCTAGTTAGTTTATAAACTAATGTGAATATACAGCAAGCTTTCATGAGATAATTAACTACTACTAAATTGGTAAAAATCTTCAGAAATATAGAAGTTGTTAAGAAAAATTAAAGAAAGATTTAATAAAATGGAATACATACACTTTATAGTAAAGGGTATGGCCACTTTTTCATCCTATCAAAGGACAGGGTTGAAAAAGATTGTTATCGACCTTTAGCTTGATGTTTCAGGAGTGTTGTATGTATCATTGCACATACTGACTTTTGGTCTTTGGTCTTTGAAAGGGGCATCCCTAAAACCAAATGGCTTTGTTGACCTAATTAATGATTTCCTTCATGAAATAACTTCAGTGAAGTCAAAATAAAAACCAAAAACACTAAGTTCTTGTTTTCGGAGCATCACAGTATCCCCTAAACTTTGGGAGCCTAGAGCTCAAGAATGATTCTTTTGGATTATATATCATGTGGGCATCGTACCTTAAAAAGAATAATATAAAGTTAAATTGCCTGGTTATAAAAGGTTAACTTCTAAGCATTTTTCTAATTAAATAAAGATGAACAATTGCCTTTTTCTCAAACAGTATAGACACAAGTGCTGTTGAATTTAGACTGCAGTGTTAGCACTCTAACGAGACCAATTTATAGGTGTCATTGTAAGTTTCTACTCTACTAAGCAGAAGAGACTCAGCTGTGTAAATAGATCTCACCCTAAAATTGCACACAGGGAAAAATAAAATCTTCATAGGTCTGAAGGAAGAGGAAAATTTATGGGTATTTGATACAGAGTAGGTGTCAACAAATGTTTATCAATCATCCTTAAACTGATCTAAAAATGTCTAAAAGCAATTAGTCAGACAAGTACTTCCTAGCTGCCCTATGGCAGTTTCATTAGGCCCTGTCTTTTATGAAAGGCATCTTGTATTACAAGCCTGTGTAGAGAATTATGAGTATCTCCACACCAATATTTTTGTTGTAGGGAAGCTTGACATTTTGAGTGTCTAAAATAGACTATAGGCTCATTAGCAACTCCATTTATTTGAAGTATGCAGATAATAATTATATGTTTGGATTCAGTCAGCAAATTATTATTGAGCACCTACTATGTGCTAAACACAGTCTTGGATATTTTGGAAGAGGTAGGTGGTTCAGAGGGCAGGTCCTGCCCTCAGGTTAGAGTAGAATAGAAAAGATAAGATGTACTTATAAATCTCTACAAGAAAGAAAGATGAAATACCCTGAGGAAGTGGAAATATGGAAGTTCAGAAGTGGAGGAGATTTTGAGATGAATTTTGAAGGATGAGGAGGATTTGGAAATACTGATGCAGGAATTTTCAAGCAAAGTAAATATACCGAGTGAAAGCTATGGGGAAGGTAAGAGGATGAGCTCGGGGTGGACTAAGCCACCCTTGCCCTCATTTTAAGCGTGTGGTGCATGATGCCCTTCATGCCCTTGTCTGATGCTTGTGGTACCAGGAATGGTGTAGTCTGCTCCCTTAATTCTAGAAGGCCCCATTTTGTGACAGTTGCCATGTCTTATGTCTCCTGAAGGATGGGAATGACTTTGAAGAGCCCTACCAAGAGATGGAGTTCTTTGTTCCTCAGCTAATTATGATCAAACTTGAAGTCAGTGAGCCCATTATTATCTTCAATCCATCTTTTGATGATTGCTGGGAGTTAATACACAACTCTTTCTTGGAAATTATTGAAAACTCTAAGAGGATCCCCAAGGTAGAGTATTCACTTAATCATACGCTTGTACTTTTTTTTCTTTTTTGCTTATTGCATATATTTAAAATGGCTATTTATATAAGATATTCAGTCAGCGGAGTTTCAGTTTGGGAGTTCTATCTTGAGTATACCCTCTTGATCCCAGGAAGAGGATTTGAACCATAAAGACATGCACATGCATCCCAGAACTGTGCTTCTAACAAGGGCATTAAGAGTTACTTGGTGGGAGAATAGAGTCCTCCAGGATGCCCACCTCCAAAGGGCAAATGTGTACCAAGCTGTATCCAACTTGAGTTGGTAATTCACGATGGAGCAGTTGCCATGAACTTGCCAAGAATCTATACCAAACTATATCTGATCTAGCTCTTGAGATTCCATGTTTGTTTCGTTTGTTCACCCATTGTTGGTGGCTAGGGGAGGGAGTGAAACCTCCCTTCCTGGCCTGAGCCCTTTCCAGTTTTCTTCCTGGGGTGGCCTCACTAATCAGACCCCAGACACCGGTTAACAGAGTCTCAGGGCTGGGCCAAGTCATCCACCTGAGTGGGACTCCTTTGTGTGCCATCTTCTGTTTCCTTCTGGTTGGTTAGTGTGGCAAGGGGGCCAGTGTCAGGTCCACAAAGGGAAGGGACCTGTGGGATGCTCCTCTTCCTCCTCTCCCGACCATGTATGTATATGATACTTGGATGCTCGTAAGCACTCCTCTCTCTGTAGTTCCTTACTGAGAGGGCTGGTTCTACAAGCTCAAGATTCAAGTTGGGTTTGTAGGGAAGCATGTGAAACCAATGCTCCAGTTGGTTTTGATCTAAATTTGGAGTTTTAAACCCAACCAAGCCTGGTTAACAAGAAGACTGTGTGTGTGCAGGGGGAAGAAAGATGCACGGTGCTCCTACAATCAATATCCTGAGGAAGGAAATGAGAGAGCAGACCTGTAATTGGAAGGATGAGTTTGGGGCTTGGGGACAGATAAAATGCACACGGCCTGCGCGCTCCCTCACTGCTGGTGAGCAGCTGTGTTTGCAAGCATCTGGGCTGGGAGCACCCAGGGCTCGTGTGGCTGTTACTGCAGACAGCCCAGCAGGAGCCAGTAGCAGATTCAGTGGATTGTAATGCCAAGAAGACCCAGTCACAGGTCACAGTTTGTACCAGGTTTGAAAGGTAGGCCCAAGTGAATGCCAATGACTTTATCCAACTGTGAGAAAAGGTAGTACAGGCCCAGAGTTCTCCATCTGGCTCCTGCCAGCACACTCAGACTCAGACCATCCTGTCTCTGAACTGGGTAGTGAAAATGTAAAAGAATAGTTCTTCATGTTGAATATGTAAAAAAAATATCCAAGAGCAGCAATAGGTAGACAGTACACCCAGTCCCTACCAGTCATATAGTTTTACATGAATTTTAGAAGTTGGAAAAAGTCAGCATGAGATGTTTGATAATAGCTCTCAAGGTGCAGGAGGAAAGCATATTTGTGAGAAACTTAGTAAAGGAAACAAAAGCATATTTTAGAAAATATTTATCTTCATAAAAAATAAAACTGATCAAGATGGTAGCATAGGTAAATGATGTACTTGAATCCTCCCACATCACATCAGTTACAACTAAGCTACAGAATAACCATCCTCAGAATTGCCTGAAATCTAGCTAAACAAAAGTCCTATAACTGAGGATATAAAGAGGAAGCCACATCGACACTGGTACGAAAGGCAAAGACTCAGAACGTGCTGTCCTCACACCCTGTAGGGCAGATAAAAATCAGGAGGGATATCTTGGCTGTAGAGGGTCCCTTTGAAGAGCAAGGGATCCCAACCTCACACCAAGTCCTTTAGCCTAGGGTTCCAGTGCCAGGAAGAGAAGCCCCCATATCTTCTTGCTATAAAAACCAGTGGGGATTGAAGCTGAGGGAGACAGAGGGCTGCTAGAGTCTCAGGCAGTTCCTTTTAAAGGGCCCACCCACAGACTTATTCAGACTCACTCCCTCTGAACTCCAGTGCTGGGTCAACAACTCAAATGCACCAGGGACATAAGAAGAGGAACTGAATAGTATGGCATTGGGGTGAAAGCTGGAGGGGCAGCTTTCTCCCAGACAGAAGTGCTGACAGAGGCCATTGTTCGTTTTCTGAGATCCCACCCCACTCCACAGAGTGGGCAGTTGGGCACCATATCTGAGTCTTCATCAACCTGACCGATACTGTTAGCCCCCCCCTGGTGAGTCTCTGAGATCCCGCCCCACCCAACCTGTGGGCCCCATCCCAAGCCAATTCCAGTGGCTTTTCCACACAAATAGCCTATCTTGACTCATTCTTTGGACTTTTCTAAAATCTTTCAAATAAGCAGCATCTGGCCTCAGAGAGACCTGTACCTCTACCTAAGTGATCCGAGGCCCAGCACTAACAGCAGCTGGCCTTAGGTCACAGCTTGGCCTCTCCTGGGATCCTACAAAACACCTACTACACAAGGCCACTCTACCAAGTCCAGGAGATATAGCAGCTCTACCTAATACACAGAAACAAACACAGAGAGGCAGCCAAAATGAGGAGACAGAGAAATGTGTCCCAAATGAAAGAACAGAACAAAACTCCAGAAAAAGAACTAAACAAAATCAAGACAAGCAATCTACTCAATGAAGAGTTCAAAACACTGGTTATAAAGATGCTCAATTAACTTAGGGGAAGAGTAGATGAACTTAGTAAGAACTTCAACAAAGGGATAGGAAACACAAAAACAGACCAGTCAGAAATAAAAGAGCAATAAAACAATTTAAAGAAGCAAAAGATCTATGTGGTCTGAAGAGAAACCAGCACATCTAGGAGCTTTTCCTTAGAGAGACGTTGATGGGGTGGCAGGCACCCTATGACATCCCTTCACTCCCACGGTATTTATTGAGCACTTACTATGTGCCGAGCTCTTCACAGGAGCGCAGAACTCAGATATGATCCAGGCTCTCATGGTATTTATATCCCCTGACAAACCTAGGACAGCTCATTACACACTCATTTAGTGACAGTTGTGATGAGGAAGTTCAGAGCCTGAACTTTCAGCAGGGACACCGAGTCTCCACTGGGCCCCGGGACTCTCCAAGGACATGAGACTTGAGAGGAGCAAGGACTTGAGCGCTGAGTGACCCACAAGAAGCGAGCGAGCCAGCCTCGCTCAGGAGCAGCAGGAGCAGGACGGCAGCTGGTGTCCCAGGAATGAACCCACTGCACACCTTGCCCTGCGGTGCCGCCCCCTCCTCAAATCTCACGGCTTCTGTTCTTTAGGTGGAATCTTTCCTGTTCCCAGAGCTAAAAGGATATAACCTGGTTCTTGGAACCGTTAACCCTGAAGAAAAGCTGGTTTCTGACTACGTGGATCAGGCTTTCCAGGTCTATCAGAAAAACCAAGTCGGCCCCCACAAGTAAGTTGGTGTAGCTGTAACTTAGCCTTTGGGCATTGGCTTACCATTCTTAACTGCCTTCAAGGGAATGCTCTCTGCTCCCACACAGCTGAAACGGTGCATAATCATAGCCAATGGCTGCTTACCGGGGAATTACACGCATCCCCGTTTCACACATGAGGACGCGTGGCCCAGAAAGCAAACCGGAGAACCAGAGTTCACACTCCGGTACAGTCCACTTCCAGGACCTGAAACCGTGTGGCCAGACAGGTTAGAAATGTCTGGGCTGTAGGAAGGTGACACGGCGCCAGCAGGCCTGGCAGCACCCCTTCGTCTGATTGACAGGCAGGTATTTCCGCAGTGAGAGTGAGGACATGCCCACCAGCAGCCCACATCCGCTCAGGCAGCTTTTGCTATTCGATGAATTTTAGAGCAGCTCTCTGCTTCCAGAGCTCGCTGGACTTCGGGGTGGGAGGACAGGGACCGAGGACAAGTGCTCTGCATGCCCTGAGTGGTGACACTGGGAGCACATGGCATTTGCTCGCGTGAGCAGGCATGCGTTTGGGGGATGGCGGATGCAACTGCTAGCTTCTACACGGAGACCCTGCGAGTGGAGAGGATGTTATCCACAGTCACCACGGGACTGTCCCACACAAGCCAGGACACGTGCTCACCCTCACCTGGGCTCGTGGCGCAGCTCTGTTGATGTTAGAACAGGACGCTGCACTGAGGGGGCTGCCTGCGCATAGCAGGGTTTGTAGCAGCGTCCCTGGCCTCTACCCTTTCATGACATGCCAGCGGGACTCTACAATGACGGCGACGATAAACGGCCCAAGGCATAGCCAAGTGTCCCCTGGGAGCAAAACCCACCCCTGATGAGAACTGCTAACCTGGTCTGAAAACCACAGACTCGGATGGGCAGCCCCCCGCCTGTGCATGTGGCTCGGAGCCTCAGTGGGAAACCCGGCCGGCCCTGTTCGCGGGGGCGGGTGGCCCTCCCAGTTTGCTCTCTGACTTGCAGCTCCGGGGTTCCCCTGCGTCTCGGTCTCTGAGTCTCTGAAGTCGGTCATCCTGTGGAAGAGTGCCACTGGCCCCCGGTTAACTCTGCTCCTCGTAGCATCTATATGTTCACGGGACTCAGTGGGAGCATCCCAATACATCCTCCCATCCGAGAGAAACCGCCCAGCCCTTCCGCGAGATCTGCTAATGGACGGAGGGAAACTTAATTTTATTCCATTGGTTTTAGTTCATTCGTTCCAAATTTTCATCTTAAAATTGAGACCCACAGCTTTAGAGCTGGAAGGAGGGATGGGGTCATGGCTATCGCACGCCCGCTGTGCGTCAGGCTCCGTGGTAACTTCATAGACCTTGTTGCAGTTGTGCTCTAAGGAGTTACTATTCCCACTTTAGTTAGAGACACTGCTCTTTGAAAAAGAGAAATATCTTGTCTAAGTTCATGTCGCCAGGAGGTAACAAAACTGGAATTTTCAGTCGAAGTTCTGCATTTCCCGTTCCATGTACCCTGTCAGCTTCTATTCCTCTGTCTTGGTTTGGGCTGATTTTCAGTGTGTCTCCGCATTTGCCGCTCTGACTAAGCTAACTTGTGGCCCGTGTTTGTGTGTTTGATTCTATGCCCTTCGACATGCAAGATACTTAAATGTCTACAGAAAGTATGACGACTTATTGGATAACACGGCAGAGCAGAGCATCACGGCATTCCTGAAAGAAAATCATGAAATTGATGACTTTGTGACGGTAGGAGATGCCACTGGACATTTCGTGTCGTGGTGATGTGTGCTGCACACGCGCAGTGGGTGGCCTCGGCCCCCTGGTGGCGGTTGTGTGCTGTGCTGCAATCTGAGGGGGTGGCCAGGGCCGAGGCTGCGGGCAACGCGCAGAGGCCACTGATGAACTGACTAGTGAATGTGCTCCTTTTACAGAAGATAAATAGCATAAAAAAGCGGAAAAACGAAATTGCGTCCATGCACATTTCCGTGCCGCTGGCCATGTTCTGCCTTGACACCATGGCCCTCAATTACGACCTCTGTGAGCGAGCCCAGAACCTGAAAGACCGCCTGATTCAGTACCAAGTGGATGTGAACCGGGACACCAATGCCAGGTACTGCCAGGTGTGCGGAGAAAGAGCACTGAGAGTTGGCACAAACGGGGGGATGTAGACAGAATTTGCACCTCCCAACAATGACCAGGCTGAACCCAAATGAGGGTGGCAGGGAATTCAAGTTCGGCTGGAAGGTGAGCAGCAGTGAGACACCGTGGGGCTTGGAGCGAGGGGGAGGGGAAGTGAGGGGGGTAGTGCCCCTCTCAGACCCTTCAGCCTTCGCTTGCTTGCCAGGCCGCTGGGTGCTGCTGCCCACCACCTAGCCTGCGCGCCATGCAGGCCTCTGCTGGATAGGGCTGGAGGTCTGTCGTTCCGGAAGCCGGATGTTGTGCCTTCACTTTACGGATGAGTATCGATACATCAGTCGAAATGGTGTTGGTTGTAAGGAGAGAAGCCCAAACAGGCTGGCGAGAGTAAAAAAGGGAGCCTGGGGCTCACACGTTGGAAAGTTCAGGGGTTGCTGACTTCAGCCCTCAGCCCGGCAGTCAGGGCCCAGGCTCCCTCCCTCCCTCAGCTCCCTGTGTTGGCTGCGTCCCGACAGGCTCTCTGGTGTGTGCACCCCAGCAGCTCTGGCTCACAGCCTCTCAGGTTCCGTCCAGAGGGAAAAGGTTTCTGCTGTCCCAACGGCCTCCCCGCAGCCCTGGCCTGCGTGACGCTGGCCCGCAGCTCACCTGCGCAGCAGCAGACCGGCGAGGACGGCTGCCATCAGGGCGGGGTTCCTGTCTCCGGGGTGGATGTCACCCTACTAGGCCACGTGGACTGAGAGGGAGAGGGCTCCCCCGGAAGGCTTGGGCGTGGTTGGCAGAGAGGGATGGTGTGGAGAGGCTGGGCAGCACCTCTGCCCCCGTGTCCCGTGAGTGTCACGGAACAGCTCATCCCTGCTCCAGCTGTTCCTTAGGGAGCTCTACACCACAGGCTGCGCGATTGAGGAATAATGGTCCCTGTTATGCAGTGTTACATGTGATCCACATAAATGTAAACATGTGTAAGCTTAGCATTTATAGTACTTTAAGGGTTACAAGTTACCTGTCAGAAACTCACTAACAAATTAATGATATAGTAGCTACCGTTTTCCCAGCCCAGCGTCCCGTCCAGGGGCTGTGAGCATCTGAGCGCTGCCGTCCGGTGAGGCCTCCACAGAGCCCGAGAGGCGGCGTGCTCTTCCCTGCACGTGCTCACGAAGGGGGGCCTCTGAGAGGGCAGCGAGCGACACCCCAGCACCACCGCACAGCCTCTCAGGGCTGGTGACGCGGAGGGTCCGGCGCCGGAGCCAGAGCTGGGTTTGAACCTTGTGTTTCCTGGCTGTGCGTCCCCTGTGGTCACCTGTAGGGACCAGTTCTCTGCCTGTAGGATGAAGGTTGGGATGGAGAGTACAAGGCTTGAGCCTTCATGCTACGGGGACACTTTCTTTGGAAAGTTTCAGCATCAAGAAAGTGTTTCCTAAGCAGTAGTGCATCCACCCTCCTCAAAATAAAAGTATAATTCCCTGATGTCTTTTTAATATAAAGGAAAATAAGGGTCCTGTTATGAGACCAAGGATTCTTCAGGATGCAGAGCCCCAGGCTGGTGCGGAGTTCCGAAGTTTCTTTCTGCCTTCACACCGGAGACTCTGACTGATTTGACCTTCCCAACAAGCCCCTGAGGTGGGGAGGCAGACAGAAGCCCCCTTACTGAGCGGGGGGGAAATGAGGCTCAGAAAGGAAGCCTAACTTGCCCAAGAAAGTGAGTTTGAGTCTCCTGATCCCAGGCCCTGTCCTGGCCACCTCACTGTCCTGTTTCCAGTGCTAGGTGTGCCTGGGACGGGGCGCCCTGGGCAGAAGGATGGAGTGCGGCCATTTGCATCTAAGTTGCTAGAGCGGTGACCTGAAGTATTGACCAATTGCAGGGCCCTGAGCAGAGACATGAGAAGTTTTCCCTGTGGTCCAGCTGCTTGTTTTCTTCGGGGTGTGAAGTCCTGTCCAAAATAAGGACATCAGTAGAAAGAGGGCACAGATCGGTACGCGTTGCTGGTCTCCCTTATGCTGTCCCCGGCATGGGCAGAGAATAGCATTGTCTATGGGACCCTGGCCTTTCAGGGCTTTTATTTTGTTTTGTTTTTTTCTTCTTGTATGTTCCCTGACCAGGGATCAAACCCACAACCTTGGTGTATGAGGATGTTGCCCTAACCAACTGAGCTACCAGGCCGGGGCCCGGCCTTTTAGGTTTTAAATCATATTATCAGTACATGTAGAAGGCAAGGTTTCCTGTCTTCAGTTTATCCTGGATATCGCTACGGAGTTGTGTTGATATCATCGGGTCATATTCAGGGCCTTTAGAGGGTCTAGGAAATAGTGAGTCTGCTACCCTCTGAGCCTCCAGGGAGCTGACAGCCAGCAGCCAGATGATATTTACTCTGAATTCTCATACAAAAGGGAAGAAGGATGGATTCTATCAGGGAGGAGTCTGTGGGGCTGAGAGCATCTATCTGCGTTAGTTAGTTAGTTAGTTAGTTAGGCCAAATGCTATAACGCATAGACCCAAGATGTTATGATCAAACACAATAGAAGTTTATTTCTTGCTCAGGGTAGCTCCAGACTCATGGAGGAGAAATACTATGTGCATTCAAAAACTCAAGCAAGATGGTAACTTTACATCTTCAACATGTAGCTTTCAAGGTCGTTTTAAGTGTTGAGACCCTGGGCAGTCGGGGGGAGAGAGAGCATGGAGCATGGAGAGAGCAAGGACACTGTTATGTGCTGCACCTGTGAGTGGCGGTTGCACTGCTTCCCACTCCCAAGGACTGGACCTCAGTCACACGATCTGAGTTGTGCTCTCCCACAGTTCGTATGTCGCAGTCTGTCTGAGTCCATTTGAGCTGCTATGACAGACTGCCACAGCCTGGGTGGCTTCTAAGCAAGAGGAGTTTGTTGCTCACAGTCCTGGAGGCTAGAGGTGCCTGGTTCATAGACACCCTTCTTCTCGCTGTGTCCTCACAAAGCAGAAAGGGGAGGGAGCGCCTTTATTGGGCACGAATCCCTTGTGCGTGGTCATAACCCTCCTGATACTCTCCACCCAACGCCACCTCCAAATATCATCACGTTAGGGATTGGGTTTCAGCATGTGAATTTTGGGGGTGCACACGCACATCTGCATGCCCAGTGTGACTGCTTGGAGACCGGCCTGTAGAGGGCGATGAGGTTAAATGAGGTCATAGGTTGTGTCCCTTATAAGAAGGGACGAGACACCAAAACCCTCCTCCTGTCTGCCACGTGAGGACACGGGAAGAGCGTCTCCCTGCCAGCCAGAAAGCGAGTCCTCACCAGGAACCGAACCAGCTGGCACACTGACCCTGACTTCCGCCTCCAGCCTGTGAGACAATGAAGTCCTGTTGTTTAAGCCGCCCAGTGATACTTTGTGATGGTAACCGAGCTGACTAGTAAAATGCCCAACGAAAGCTCTGCAGGAGGCTGGGGAATATAACCCACCTCTGGGGCCGAGAAGGGGAGAATGCTCTGGACGCAGGCCGCACAGCAGACACTTCTCTCGATAGAACTGTGTCCAATTCGTTCCTAAACTCAGCACCAGCTGCAAGGTGGTGTGGCATTTTCTCTTCAGTTTGGTGCAAGTCGCTCTATGACGAAGGGGCACCGTTATGTTAAGAAGGAATGTTGAAGGCTGAGAACACGGAGAGGAGTGGTTCTGCGACCTGGTGACCAGCGGCATGTAGCAATCAGTAAACATGACGACGGCCGTTTTACCCACATGTCCTGAGGGCCACTCTGTGCTAGGCAGGGAGGCAGTGGAGATCATTTGTTCCTAATTATACTTAAAATGCTGAAGACTGAGATTCACTGGCTTTTGTATACATTGAGCATATTCAAATTATCCGTATAGTAACACGCTCTCTCACAGTGCGGCTGAGGAGGAGCTGGCAGTTAGGTCCAACAGTGCCAGGAGTTGAACGTAAATGTCTCTGGATGGCCTGCAGCACCTGAGGATGAGCTGGCTGGCGTGCTGCAGGAGCAGTGCCTGTACTGTAGGACTCTACTCCAGCATAAAATCTGAGGAGTTGCTGGTGCTGGCCGTATTCTTGCTATTGTTTTGGTCTGAATCTGAATTCTACTCAGTATATTTGTGAAGAGTACAGCTCTGCAATCAGTTGAACCAGGTTCCGATCCTGGATTTGACACCTGCACACCGTGTTGCTTTGGGTCAAGTTAGTCAGCCTCGCTTTCTCCCAAACTGCTGGTAGTAACAGTTCCTACCTCTTAGGATAGCTGTGAGGCTTAAACGAGCTGATATATGATTGCAGTGGGGGCGTGGCACCTTGTAACAGGCTTGGCACATGCCAGATAGCACTGCCACCACTCGGGAAGTATTCCTGAAGTGCAGTGTGCATGTGGGCGTCATGCATCGGGCTGCAGGCAGAGAACAGCTGGACATCATCATCCTGGTCTCCAGCTAGGAATCCCGTCTGCTCGCACCGCGAGTCTTGTAGGAGGGCTGGCGGAGGGCGGTGGTGCTGATGGCTGACTTCTGTTCCGCAGCATTTGCCACCAGTACAGCAGCATCGCAGAGAAAGTCAGCGAGATCCCTGCCAACACCGAGGAGCTGGTGTCCCTCATCGCGTTCCTCAGGAAATCCAGCGACGTCACTGTGTTCAAACTCAGGAGGCAGCTGAGGGATGCGGCCGAGCGGCTGGAGTTCCTGATGGACTTCGCAGACTTGCCCCGTAAGCCGAGGCCCTGCGCCCACATGCAAGCATGCGTGTGCGTTTTCAGGGAAGGAGTGGGGACGAGTTTGCAATCCCAGCACTGAACGTGGAGATGGGAGCTGCCTCGGTGTCCCTGTATGTCAGAGGCACTCACCACACAGGAGCTCGACCACACAAAGGGCGTCTGACTGTCAGACAAAAAGGAGAAACGTCTGGGTGTGGCCGGGCCTTCACAGCGTCCCGGCCCCTCACAGCGTGGCTGGGCCCTTCACAGCGTGGCCGGGCCCCTCACAGCATGGCTGGCCAAGTTGGAGTTTGTAAAGACCAGGTTCTGCAGAAGCTGATGTGCTGGCCCTTCGTCAGCCACGCCTCAGAGCTGCTTTCATCTGGAAACACCTGTGGATGCCCGGTGTTCACAGGGTGGGGCTGAGGGAGGAGCGAGGAGCCTGGGGGGACAAGTCGCTCTCTAACCCCTCACACATTTCCTGGGCTGTGCCTCCGGGTGAGCAGGCCCCGGGTCCTCTCACTGCGCTCTGCCTCAGCCAGGGGCAGGGGGAGCCACGTGACAGGAAGGACATCTGGCATGGATATCATCACTGACACGTAACTCAGTGAGGGAAAATTGTTTAGAGATTAGAACCTGAACATCACCCCAGGCTTTGAGTCCACTCCCCGCCTGGGAAGGCGGTCAGGCCAGACGTGAGGACGTGGCTGGCGAGGCTATTAGACCTGGGCTTCCAGTCTGCGCCCCACGTTCTCGTGTGACCTCGGCCCCTTCCTTACTGCTGCCCACCTGTGAAACCAAGGGGGTCACGCGGTCTGCCTTCCGGCGGCCGGGCCGTGGTGAGGGCTGAGTGATGTGGGCTGTCACCCCACCGCGGGCCCCGCACTGCCCGCCACGCCGTCGCCCTCCTGTCCTCTCGCTGACACGTGGCACAGCCCTGAGCAGGGGTATGTGTTTTGCAGACGAGGACATCAAGCTGAACAGCACCCTCTTCCTCTGGCCAGACCAGATCGAAGATGTCTTTGAAAACAGCCGAAACCTGCTCACGAGCAAGAGGGACCAGGCGGAGGTGGACCTCTTTAAAAGGTACGGGGAGTCTGTGTGACAAATGACACCCAGCTTCATGACACCCTGCAGTCCCCTGGTTCTGCTGGACCCCCGGCCCCTCCCAGCAGAGTGTGGGCAAAGGCTGCAGGTAGAAGGAAGTTCCTCGTGTTCCCACTGAGGGGAGCTAAGCCTCCTTCACCGGGACCCCTGCCAAGGCCTTCCCTCCCTGCCTGGAACCATTGAAACTTGGCGGTGCAGGGAGAGAAGAGGTAAAAACAGCAGCCTGAGAACAGCTCCACAATAACAGCAGGAGCGTCAGCCCGGCCTGGGAGGCGTCAGGACAGGGAGACAGGCGGGGCAGGAGGCCGGGAGACCCAGGCACAGCTTTCTGCTCGGTGCTGGGGCGGCAGTGACTGTGTGCTCTCCTTCCTTCCGATGGAGTCTCACTATGCACCATGCTCTGCTCTGACCATGCAGTGTGTGTGCCTGCCACGTAAAGGCTTCACCCGGTGGCAGGGAAGCACAGGCAGACGGCACAACCGGACAGTGTGCGGAATGTGGCCAAGGGCCGTGCGCGGGGCCCACACACTCACACACGCACCAGCACACACCCCAGCTTGGTTACGAACAAACGTTTACGCCAATTACTATCCCCTCTGCATGCAAGTCTCCCACTTCAGTCCCTCATTCCTGCAAGTCCAAGAAAGGGCAGGAGGAGATAAAAGCAGGGATGTCTACTGAGAATGGGAGTTTGGGCTAAAGGGTGAAGCCATTTAGTCACTTCCTTCAAAATATAGCCTAGATCTGCTACCCCCCCCACCCCACCCCCCAAAAAAAGAAACAGAGGATGTGTGTGTGCACATGAACTTTCTCTTCCAGTAGCTCAATCCTCTCTCAACCGAAATGGATACTGTCCCCAGAACCCACAGCTTAGCCCAATGGGTGGGACTGATTTTTTCAATTAACAGACTTTACTTTTTGGAACAGTATTAAGTTCACAACAAAACTGAGCAAAAGTACAGAATTTCCCGAAACTCCCATCCCGACACACATCCTCCCCTGCACGGGAATGGGTTGTGGATGCCTGACCTGGAAGCAGAGCCCCTGTGTGTGGGTTCGATGAGCCTCGGTGTCCTGTCTGGGAAGTGGGGTGACAGCAGGCCCAGAGCACTGATCTCACGAGGGCTCTGCTGGGGAAGCGGGTGAGATGGTGCCCTGGCGTCCAGCATTCAGAGTCTGTCAGTGACTTTCAGCAATGACTTCTCAGGGGAGAAAAAGTCCTCTTCACGTGGCGCTCCCACCCCGGGCGCCCTTGCAGGGCGTCTGTGAGACTCAGACACAGTGAGTGCTGAGGAGGCTCAGAGGACTGAGGGGGCCCTGGGGGAGGGGGCAGCTGTTACTTAGGGGGAGAGGGCTGGGCTTCTCCTTCCTGGGCAGCTCTCAGCTGGACACCACTGGCGGCTCCTGAGCTCTCAGCACCAGGGCGAAGAGCTGCAATAGGAAAGTCAGGCAGGAGAGGCCCGCAGGCCTGGGCTCAGCCCTCGTTACTGAGCCCTCAGCCCTCCGGCCATCACCTCTGCCTCCATCCTGAGAACAGCTGTGAAGAGAGCTGAGCAATATTTATTCACTCATTCATCCTCTGTGACAACACTCCTATTCCCTATCCAAGAAATGTGACTGTGTTTCCCAGCCCACATTAATCTTTGGCTTCGGGCCTAATTATTCTCCATTGCTGTGCCCACCCCACCCCCCACCCCCCACCCCTCCCCTGGCTGTGCTGCTCCCAGTGCACTGAGCAGGCAGGCTCAGTGCAGAGAGCTGGGGCTGGGGCAGCCATGGCCAAACTACGGCCCGGCCTGCGGATCCAGCCCCTTTGAAATGAATAAAACTAAAAAAAAAAAAAAAAGACCGTACCCTTTTATGTAATGATGTTTACTTTGAATTTATATTAGTTCACACAAACACTCCATCCATGCTTTTGTTCCGGCCCTCCGGTCCAGTTTAAGAACCCATTG